TCTATGGTGTGAAATGAAAGTTTCAATTTCCGTTGATTATATATAAGAGACAAAGACCTGTCAACCAATAAAGATGGGGGTGCAATCCACTCCTGGATCAGAATAACAGGAAGACTGGTTTAAATAATAGCATGTCAAAACTGGAATAAAGATTTTTGTTAATGAGGAATATGAACCATCAAATCTGTTCTAATGTTTCACTTTATGATAGAAGTCATTTAAAAGTGAAAATGTACTGCTCATCGAATCCATGACATCTTCTAGTGCAGCTCTGACTGTCACTTTGCAACACTGTTTCCTAACATCCATGAAAGAGCTCTGCTTAGTCTCCAATTACTTATCTTTTATCATCTTATTTTCATATTTATGGACCTAAAGTCTGGGAAATAAAGGCTTTGGGATTTGTATAAAAGCAGGGATCATGCATTTATCACCCACTCGAGGAGGAACAACCCCTAAACGTCCTCTGAGCTACGCTGCGTGCCAAGTGTGAGGTGTTTCACCATCTCTGGGCTTTATCGGCAGCATCTCAGAGATCCTGCCTCCGTTAATCCTCTCCTTGACGGCGATAGCAGTGAGCGATAGGGCAGATGTCTTGTTACCGGCAACATATGTTCCCCTTTTATACAACAGCAGCTTTCCAAACCACTTAATGGGATTGTTGTTGTTGGTTTATAAACCTCCCAAAACACAACAGACACTTTTCCTCGAAGTGGTTCGACTTGTGCCCAAGGAATTTGTCACAGGATTTCACAACAAATAAGCCTGGGTCAGGGGGCTAAGACTGGCCTCCGGTAACAGACTGCTATAAAAACTGCAACTCCTCCACATGATGAGAGAGAAAGTGGATTTTCCAGCTTAAAAGAAGATTCATCTCTGCCTGGGGCATTATGCTGTGTTCAAAGAGATTAATAATAAGATGCTATTGATACGCAGCTGTGCTGCTCTGGGATCAGCGCTGATCACTGACATCCTCAAGCTTTTAGCGCATGGAAACATGGCCTCTATATTGAAGACATATTTTTCCTGATGTTTGGGGATTTAATGGTTAAACTTGATCAGTGATGCAGGAGTTCAGCTGCAGGGTTTCAATATTAAATGCTTTCGAACAGAGCGATAGCTGTACACATAGAAAATTGTATCGGAAGAAACATGGGCGGTTCAAGACGGGGGCCAATGCCCCTGCAGAACTGGTCCTGGCCCCTCTACTAACAAACCCACCTTAACAAATTGGTCCCCTGCACCTGTTTCTTTTTTTCTTTTTTTAACCCTTTAAAG